CGCCGCCCCGTCCTCCTGCGCCAGCCGTGAACCCCAGCCCGGCCCTCGCGGCGGCAGCCGCGTCCCTGGGGTGTTAATTCCCGGGCTAACGTATCCCCGTGATACCCAAGGGGTGGGGATGAGCCCGCACGTCTGGGCGGATTCGTGGGGTCATCCGAACCCTGGTATCAAAGGCTGCTGCAGCTCCAGAGTCAACGCCTTGATAAGAGTGGGGCAGCGGATCCGCAAATGGAGCAGCTCCCTCCTAAAAACAAGTGGGAAAACTCTAGAAGGGGCGAGTTGGGCAGCAGCACCCGTCCCGGGCGCGGGGCCCCCGTGGGGACACGGGGCACGGGTGGCTGCAGGCAGGAGGGGGTTGACACCCTGCCCAGCGCACCCCGGCGCAGCCACCAGCAGCGAAGGGATGCGGGGGGCGAGCGGCAGGGACGGCCGCGGGGGGTTGCGCAGGGCGCTCAGCACCCCGTGACGGTGCTGAGGGCTGCAGGTGTCCCTGTCTTTGGCCATCACCCTTCCTGGGTGTCTCTCCTGCTTCTTAGGGCGGGCAGCGCTCGCTCATCCCTGCCCAGGAGCCGCGATTTGTCCCTGCTGCCTTCCCCAGCGTGTCCCTGCAGACACTTCTTGCTGCCCCATCCCCTGGGCACCTCCACTCTGCCGGGAGCTGCTGCTTCCCTGGGGGAGCACGAGGGACCTCGAGACACAGACGGCTTCCTAAACCACAACAACGTTCTGTCCCCACAACTTGTTTCTTTTTTTTTTTTTTTCCCATTCTCTAGTTCCTTCCTTTTGAGGGACAAAGCCAGCAACTTGTGACAACGGAATTGCTGCAGCAGGGATCCTGTGACCAGGATCAGATGACTGCCGCTTGCAGGGTGGCAGGTCCCGGCACGTCGCTGCTAAATGCTCAGCGCTGCTAAACGCACGTCCAAACGCGCGTCGCCGTCAAGTGCGCGTCACTGACGCTGTAGCTTGGGGTCTGGGGGGACACCGGTGATGGGGGTTTGGGCGACCGGGTGATCGGACGCTGCCAATCCATCTCTGGCCGCAGTTATCGCTAGCCTGGGGGTGGGATTAGCGATTTACAGCGCCGCCGTCTCCGCGGCGCGGCGTGAACGCGGGCAGCCGATGCTGCTAGCGCTCGCCCTGTCGTACACCGAGATCTGGGAACGAGAGGGACGGGGGGAGCCGGCTCTCCCTGAGACGAGGCCGGGATAACTCCTGTGGGGACACGGTGCGGAGTGAGGCCCTGCTGGGGACACCGGGAAGCGCCAGGTGCCCCAGCAAGGATCACGCTCGGCGTCTGTGGGACCCCGGCCAGCAGGAGAGCTGCTGCCGGCAGCGCGGGAGGGAGGCCTGGCGCTGCCGCCGGCGGCCCCGGAGCTCCTTCCGCTTCCCGCTCAGTCAAAGCACTTAACCTGGGAACCGATCCGAGCGTCTGCTCCTCCACCGGACTGGGTAGTGTCCAAAGCATCAGGACGTTCATGGAAGCGACTGGACGTCTCCCTGCCCTGTCTATCCCTGTGCAAGCAGATCACTGCGGGGATCAATGTGGTCTTCCTGGCACTGCAGGGGATTTAACCCCTGGAGAAAGAGGAGATCTTGGTTCCCATCTGTGCCACTGACTCCCTGGGTGGCCTCAGTCAGCTCCCTTTAGTTGGAAGGATAATCCTCAAGGATAATCCTGCTGCCTCTGAAGCAAGAGGAGCTGATGGGCCTGTAGTAGCCAAACCTGCAAGCCCAGGTGCCAGCAAAGGCAGCAGTGCAGATCTTGACCTAATTTGAGTGCCTGCTCGTGACGTTCTTCCCCCAGCCTGTTCTGCTGTGCCTGGCAGCCTGCCGATGGCCGTGACGAGAGATCCACAGGGAGCCTTATCCTGCTCTGGGAGCACCCACATACGCGGACACGCTCCCGACTCGGACACCAGCAGCAGAACTACCTGCCTTGGCCCTGAGTGACCTCAAGGAAGAGGCAGGAAGGGCTCAGATGCTGCAGAGACCCCAAAAAAAGCCACCAGATACAGCGCAGTGGGACAACATCTCCTCCCCCGTGCTTGGGAGGTGCAGTGGCACGTACGGGAGCGGGGCAAGGATGCATTTGTGTCTCCTCTGCTTTAAGGATACCACATCTTAATGAGGCTTGAAGAGAAACAGCATTTAATGACCACCCCCATGTAACACCCCCAGTGCCACATACCCTGCTTCAGCAGCAGGCTGGGGATCACGGATCAGGGGGGAGGAAAAGGAAAAGAGAGAGAGAGAGAGAAAGAGAGAGAGAGAGAGAGAGAGA